GAGATCAAAGCGATGCGTGTAACTGATCAGATTTTGCAATAACGCAGCACACTGGCGTTTTATTTATTCTCTGTTCTTAAACGTAAATTACACAGTGGCGCTTTACAAACGAAGCACAGCTTAATTCAGTTAAATATTAACACGAATTACCTATGATACAAAAGTTAGCACGTTGCTTCTGCGTCGTTAATACAAGACTGAATAATGAATGTCCTTAATTGAAGTGGTGTTATTTGAAGACATGTGTCTAAACGAAATGTTCATTAATGTTATGTGGGTCCCCTCACGATGGCAAGATTCGTCCTACGGATGAAGCAGACGGCCTCCAAACATCTAGGATAGCTACGCATATATATGTATGTAATATACACGTATATTACATAGGCAGTGGCGGTCAGCCGAAAAGGGATGGATCTTCAGTTTGAGTGTTGGGAGGAGCGATAATAAATCTCCGCCACAACGCATTATCATGTCACGAGATATTACATAGGACGTCGGACCTGGATGGATTTGAAGTGGCCTACGCAACGGAAAATTATATGATGAGGGCTGCACTCATCTTGTTCAGGAGCCACAGCGGGCTGTTGTGAATGCGGTAATGAACCTTACGGGCTCATAAATGGAAACGGATTTCATTGACTAGCTGATCGACTATTACTTTGTCCAAAATGAAAGTGTATCATGGAGCTATTATTCGTTATTTCGGGTTTCAGTGTGAATGAAATGGGACATTGCAGCTCATTCAGTGATTCTTATAAGGGCCAGGATAATTCAGCGAATGATATGACTGGTTATGGGCTGTGCGTCTGGAGTTTCGATTCCTGGCCATTTTCTCTTCCTCACCACATGCAGACATTCTCTGCGGCACACCTGGGTTTTCTGTCCAATGTGTACCAGGAATACTTTCCCAATGATAAAGGACAACGTGACAATAATCACACTTGCCTCCACCTATAAGGCTAGGAACACACACAGCGACATCGGTCAACGGAAAAAAATGTACGATTTTTTGCCATGCGACCTCCTTTTTACACTAGACCGACCAAATACATTTCTTTGCTCTCCGACTGCCGTACGGTAGATGTCGCATGTCGTCACGTATGAAAGCTAAGACTACACTTTATATTCTACTACTTGAAGCGACATGAACCGTACGGACGTCGTACGACCGATGTCGCTGTGTGTGTTCCTAGCCCAACCGATGTTTAGAAAACACACAGACTTACTCATTCCAGGGCGGTCCCAGAGCTCAGACGGTGGGTCGCCGCCTTCCTACAGCGGCGGCTCGATTTCGATCCCAAGTCAGGTCATGTGGAATTTGTGGTGGACACAGAGATACTGGGGCATGTTTCCCCGAGTACTTCGGTTTCCCTTGCCAATTCTCACCCTACCGACAGCTCCACACTCATTTATCATCCGGGGCTGGTACAACAGGCCAAACAGCGGCCAGCGTACCAAGCAGACTCAGTTTCACTCCATTCCATAAACAAATATTAATACTATAATAACGACAATAATAATTATTACTTCCACGCCAGATGCCTTCGACAATCTTCGGGTGTGTTCGGGAGACCACTGTTGATTGTTGAGTGTACAGGTATGGAAATATAAGCGAATAACTTCTTTTATTTCATTAACTTCGAAACAGCGAGACTTGTGGGAAAACTGTCAAAGAGCATGAAATGTGTATATCATTTGTCATTAAAACTTCTGTTGCAAACATTTCATTCTGACAAACATTTAACGAGCTATCTCGGAATAAGCTTAGAAAAGCGTACAAGTCTCCATTTCAAGTGCTCATTATATTTTTTTCCTGATTTTAACCATAAATTGGAAGGTGCTGATTGATTTCAGCAAAACTTTCGAATAATGAATTCATGAAAACCAGTGCAGAGGTTCTCGAGTTCTTTTCAAAGTGATGGATCGACGGAGAGATTTAACAAGCATTCCTCAGGCTTTAAAACCGGCCTAAAAGTTGAAAGGTATATAAAAATTGCATGTAATTTGCAAAACCAATTTCAAAGAAATAGGAAACCGACCTTAATTAATTGTAAAACTCTTTTGTCTTCACTCCGAATACTGTAATGCAGCAATAATTCTCCCCTTCAAATTTCTTGTAGATTCCAATTCTTACAGTAAATATATTTTAATTGTAACAGCTTCGAATATGGTAACTATATGGGTCTATTTCTACATTATATGTCACCCACCCCACGTCACATGCTACCAAACAAATGCAAATTCGCGTTATGTTTGCGTTATTAGAACACTTTTTTTTTCCCTTGGCATTACAGCCCCAGTGGGCCTAGGCCTACCTCCATGAACTCCGTTCACTTCGGTTTTTCTAGATCTTACACATACGGTAGGACTCCTTGGGCGAGTGATCAGCTCGTCGCAAGGCCTCTACCTGTACACAAACACAGAAAAACGCACACACACAAACTAAACATCCATTCCCTGAGTGGGATTCGAACCCACGATCCCGGCTTCCGAGCGAGCGAAGACAGTGCATGCCTTAGACCGCTCGGCTACCGTGACCGGAGCGTTGTTAGAACATTATCAGAAATATATTCAAGTATCTGTAACATAATCTAGTTCGGCCTGTCAAAAATTCAAATTTAATTCAGAAACGCAATAATAAATCCAAATATAATAAAACAATTTGTTTTCGTATTAGTATGAGTGACTAAATACGACTGCTGGTAACTTATACATGTCAAAATATCGTGGCAGCAAAGGGGTCATCGCAATCCACTGGTAGTGCAGTAAGGATAGTCCTCAAGTTTCGTCTCAAATGAAATGTTCTTAAAACGGATACATCGTCATCATGTCGTTCTAAATTTCGGAACAGTCACACCAGTATGGCATAAATAATAATATTTCTAGGCNGAGGCTAGCTCTTTCTAAGGGACCCAACAGAATAGGTGTTTTCCTTCACCTGAGGACGGAAATAGATCCAGTTTCCGAAACGTCGTGTTTTTCTTAGTTATCTTAAAAACAAGGACGATGGATAAAGTCCGAAAACCCAATATCTCTGTGAAATAAAATATTATTCAGTTACCAAGGCCTGAAACGACACCAGTGTGCTGCTGAGTGATAAAAATGCTGAAACTGAAATGAGCGAATTTTATCGAAATATGTTCTATTAAATTTCATTAATATTTAAATAACTTTAGCATATATGACAGGTGATTTCGACGTTCGAATCACGTACAGAAAACGTGAACTGCATAGCCGATTGCACGTTGTAGGAAAGCTTTTTGCTATCAGTTTATTATTTTATTTCTGACACATGAATAATTTTTAAAAGCACATGATGTTCATGAATAAGACTTCTACTTGTAACATCACAACTGTTCTAATTTTGTCTGTACAGCCGAATTTCACAAAGTCCAAATCCTGATTCCATAATACGAAAACTAAATTTAATTAAGATTATTAAAGAGAATTATAACAACTCAGTTTTCATGAAGCTTTTTTAAGATATTTTAATGTGTAACCCCAAGGGGTACCACATTGTAGAATGGCGTAAGAACCACAACATTTATGATCTTTATATGGTATGCATCCTGTTGTGTATAGTTCACTAAAAGGACATGACTTTGAGATAGTCTACACAACAATGAGTTCAGAAAATAAACAAGATAAATACTATCATGCCAGAAACTAACGACAAGTATTCATTACGACTGGGGATGACCCAGGTAAGCGTCGAAACATGTAATGAAGTCATTAACAGCAAAATAAAGCAGATGTTGACATGGCAGTGTCTATCTCGTTTATTTTCTGAACTCATTGCTGTGTAGACTGTCTCAAAATCATATCCTTTTAGAAGAGTACCATATCGTTATCCAAGACTACATTTTCAACGTTCACAGCAAAAACTTGTTTCATGTAGGTATCATTTCAACGCTTAATCGACTAAGAATAAGGCTGCAAACATCGAATAAGACAATAATAATTCCTTATTTACCATATAACAGCATTAAAAATTAAGCTGTACATTTTCCAAGCTTATTTCTTCCCATCTGGGAAAGACGTGTGGCGGGGGGGGGGGGGGGAAATAGGGGCTATTGTTGGCTTAACCCTTTCAGAGTATTTAAAAAATTTCAACTGCATGTTTAATATACACTGTTAAAAACTTAAAAAAACACGAGAATGGATAACATTCATACATTTAATAACGCTCCCCTAAATGCCTTTTCTCAACTATCGAGCGATTTTTATATGAAATCACAAAATAAGTGTACATACACATACTTTAACTTACAGAAATCATCAAATAAAGGACGTAACTGCATAACATGTCACTATTCCCAAAGCCACGAAAGTCGGTTGTAATTCAGACTTTGACATTAAAACGTGGTTGTAGTAAAGACGAAACTTCATAGCTTCGACTCTTCTCCAAACATAATTAGAATGATCAAGTCAAGGAGGATGAGATGGGCGGGGCATGTAGCACGAATGAGGGAGAAGAGGAATGCATATAGGATATTGGTGTAAAAGCCAGAATGACAGAGACCACTGGGAAGACCGAGGCGTAGGTGGGTGGACATTACTAAAACGGATCTTAGAGAGATAGGATGGGATTGTATGGATTGGATTAATGTGGCTCAGGATAGGGACCAGTGGAGGGCTCTTGTGAACACGGTAATGAACCTTCGGGTTCCCTAAAATGCTGGGAAATTCTTGAGTAGCTGCAGATTTGGCTTCTTCTCAAGAAGGGCTCAGCTCCATGAGTAAGTAAGTAAGTATGTACAAAAGACGAAGATACGAATAATTCGTAACATTTAGCGGCTACTTAGCTTTTAGGTTCAGCACTGTACTTTTGTCAAGCAAAATATTATAGCACGAGGAGTTAAAAAGAACAACAGACACGAAATATATTATCATCTAAACAAAGAAACAAAACAATTCTGTACATATCTGTTCATAAGCACATCCACTCTGCGAAATAATATCGAACGCCAAATAAACCATACAAAATAGGAAGTACTTACAGTTCAATGCCGTCGAACAGCTGATCCTTTTCTAGCACTGCCGAACGTATTTAGTTCAGAACGTATTTCAACTCTCCACGTTGATATAATTTCAGTAATCCATATATCTAATATATTTAGATTTCTCGAGCTGTCATAAAAGAAAACCAACTATGCACATTGACACTAAATCACTACATCGTCTTCTCAGTGTCTATCCATTGTGTTTCATTTCATTATCACCATAATTTGTTTTTCATCTCGAAAATAAAATAGGGCCGCTAATTCAGAAAGCACGCCAACACTCTGTAAATAAACAAACAGGGTGTCAGAGACAGGAAACAAAACTGTACTTCGAAATTACTCCCGGAAGGTAGCGCAACGCAGGTAGTTCTAATGCAGTAGGGACAATCAGACGCCAGACTAACCTGAACCAACCGATACCAGGCCGACGTCTGCTTGCTGTACGTCGCGATGCTCAAGGTACGATGGACATTGTTCGGGTTTCTCCGGAAACAAACCGACTAGCTCCCGAGCCCTCCCCACCATCTGTCTTTTCACCCGAGCCGCACTGCAATCAGTTAAATTGGGAGTTCGTTGCTGCATTTCCCCGAGAAGATGCCGCCCAATTTAAAATACTTCTCAAACCCACATCGGAAGAAAAGTCGATAATAATAACAATAATAATAATAATATCGATAATGTTTTGGCCGGAACAATGATAGATCAATAAAGCGGCAGGCTATAGTATAAACGACCGGGGTTTGGGTCGTGATGGAAGTATGCATATTTACTTCGCCCTCAGATCCAGAATTCTTTTGGGACCGACTCAGCCTCTGGTCTATCAGATGCTGTTCTGGCCTCTTTTCCGGGGTTCAAACGGCCGTCTGTGGGCTTCATCACTAACGTTCACCTAGTAAGTTGATGAAACGCGAATATTTACCTTCATGTTCCTACACACGCACGAATGTGGGAGAGAAGAAATGCATGTAGAATATTGGTGGGAAAGTCACAAGGAAAGAGACCACTAGGAAGACAAAGACGTAGATGGGTGGACAACATTACAATGAATCTTAGAGTAATACGATGGGGTGGTATGGACTGGATCGATCTGGCTCAGAATAGGAACCATTGTAGGGCTCTTGTGATCATGGTGATGAACCATCGGTTTCCATAAAATGCTGGGAAGTTCTTGAGTAGCTGGACAATTGGCGGCTTCTCAAGACGGGCTCAGCTCCATGAAGTTAAAGCCTATTTGGACCTATGGAATCGAACTATGGGGATGCGCCAGTAAATCGAACATAGCCATAATGCAACGAAGACAGTCCAAAATACTGCGGATGATCACAAATGCACCTTGGTATGTGTCAAATCAGACCCTACATGACGATCTCAATGTACCATTCGTCAAAGAAGTCATCCAAGAAAGAAGCATAAAACACCACGATAAACTAGGACACCATAGCAATACATTACTGCAGCCCCTACNATATATATATATATAAAAAAAAAGCTCCATGAAGTTAGTTTTTTTATTGTTAGTGGGGTGGGACTAAGTCCCTTGCACTGCGGCCACTTCTGGCCTTGAAGTTAGTTAGTTAGTTAGTTAGTTAGTAAGTCTGTCAGTTTCTGCAGACACTTGTTCAATAACACTGGTGCTGAGGCACAAAGAGAACTGAAACAGAGCGTTTCGCTACAACTCACAATTGTAACTGGCTGCATGAGGTATTATTTTAGAGTCAGTTACTATTGACCGTTGATTTCTTATTTTTCAACTAATGCGGAATAGCCGCGCCATAGCTCAAGCGGTTAGTTTCTGGCTTCCCATCGCGGCGGCCCGGGTTCGATCCCGGGTCTGGTCAAGTGGAATTTGTGGTGGACAAAGTGGCGCTGGGGCAGGTTTTCTTCGAGTACTTCGGTTTCCCCTGCCAATCTTCATTCCACCAATTGCTCCACAATCACCCTCACCTATCATCTGGGGCTGGTAAAATAGGCCAGAAGTGGCCGCAGTACAAGGGACTTAGTCCCACCCCACTAGCATTAAAAAATGCGGATTATGATATCTAGCATGTTACATTTTGGAAATTAAATCGTAAAGCTTCGTATCTTTCTAGGACGGGCGTCAAACCACCGCAAGACCCCCAACCAATACAAGACCACATAAGCAGAGATATACCTGCCTCGAGCGAGATTATAACCCACGAACCTAACATCCGAAAGGGCAAAGACAGTACTAGTAACAGCCCACGTAGCCACTGGAATTGCACTCTTCATTTTTGTCAGCTTCATTATACATAGAACTTTACTTTACCAAACACCATGAATCTACAGTCCCCCCTTACGATATGAGGCCAATTCAGTCTACGTGTTTCCCTCAGGAAAAGAGCTCAACTCAACTTAGGTATTCCCCTTAGCAAAAGAAGCCAACTCAATCTATGTATTTCGCTTTTGGAGAAGAGGCCAACTCAGTCTACGTGTTTCCCGTAGGATAAATGGTAAACTTTCACACCCACAGTTAAAATTATGTTCTGCTTAATTCAGTCGGTACTAATCTTCATAGCATGCGAGACAACGAAATATTCTGAACTCTCTGGTAAAAAAGCAGTCCCAGAACTTAATATATGCTTAATTTCTTTGTTAATGTAATTTTATTTGTTGCTGTCGTTCCGAAATATTTTAATGTTACCAGGGTTTTGAAAGACAATTTTCTAAAATAACTGTAAAAGGCAAGTCTCCCCCGTTCTTAAACATGAAGACTTTTATTATTTTAATAAATTTAGAATGGATATCATAAAAAGTAAGCTTTCGGACTATAACTGACCTGTACGCGTGTAGCAAGTTCACCGAACTATCAGTACAGGCCTTCAATGTCAAGATTCATTAAAATATAGTTTGAAGTTTTCGGTGTAAAACATGCGAGCTGCAGATAGCGACGACTTCAGTATTACAGATACATTTTATGTAATGTTTAAAAAACTCCAAATTTCATATTTCTCTTTTCAAATAAGAGTTTCACGTCTTGATTGTTTCTTAGTTTGTTTAACGACACGTTTTCAACTGCTTAGGTAATGTAACGCATAATGTAATGACGAACTGTAAATGATGAAAGCGGAAAGTTACGGAAGCGGCCGAGGCGCTATCCCTGCTTTTTCACTTTTCGTTGCTGACATACCAGACATATTCGTTATCAAGCGATGAACACACGATTTTGAAACAGCTTTTATGCCGCCTACATAGATGAGCTGAGAGATATATGGTGTTTGCCGACGTTCGAAATAAGCTGAAGAAATTTAGATTGTCTTCTGAATTATGACACCGTACAGTCCTCTACACGGATACCAACATTTCAGACGAAACTGCTGCCCCAATACCTCCATATTCTATGGAAGCAGGTTGTTTTGGAACGTTGGCAAAAACATTCCATACACGGAATCGTAACCCTGAACACCAGATTCTAAACTCTTACCATCGTGAAGAACTCAGGTTTCATTTTTAAGACGTATGTGTCGCGCCTGCAAATTCAAGCATAGGGAAGAAAACTGACTCATCGTATGTCATATTCATGAAAAAAAATACTGTGACCTCGTACAGGAACTTCCAGAAATGGAGTAAAATATATACGGAAAAAGAGCAGTGGCGTAGCAGATGACATGGAAGGTGCAGGGAAGCACCATGTGGATCATTTACTGCCGGAAACACCAGAACCAGTGATAGCAGAAGCAGTTACCTTCATTCCATCCTGACTCGACACTTTTCCCCGTTTCTGCAAAGATTTCCCAACAACGATAAATCAGGAGTGTTACGACAGCAACGTTTACTGCTTTCTCTGTTGGAAATGTATTGATTTTACTACATTGTACTTGTATTGGACAATTCCTTCCAAACTAATTAGTTGCTTTCACGAAATAATCACCATATACACTCTAAAATATTTAGTAAAAACTATCCCTGTAATAGGCCATGGAGGCCCATAGGATTGTGAGACGCTGAGGTTCCCATATTATCTAGACAATCGGCTCACAGATGGCGGTAAGTTTGTGAGCCTTACACGCCGGCTGCCCTTTACCCCCCAGGAAGATTCCTGGTACTCATTTCTGTTAGAGGCTGAGTCGATCCCAGGGCCATAGTGCAGCTGGAAGGATTAGATCAATTAAAAAATTCACTTCATTGGGACTCGAACCCGCGACCTCCCGGCTTGTAGCATAGTGCCTCAACCAACTGTGACAACGCATGACCCCTTAAAATATTTGGTATGGTTCAATATATGAGCGAAATAAACGAATTACTCATGTAATTCTGTAAATATATAGGCCTACAAAGTCCTAAGTTTATAAACTATTATTTCATTCGAATATATTCGTATTAACTCGGTAAATTATTCTCGCCCAGTAATGCCTTTAAAGGAAACACTGATTTTATGGACATTGAAACCTAATACATTTCAATGAAAAGCACAAACAAGTAACAGTTTTTGGTTTTCTAAAGTATATTGGTGGTTTGCATGTGTGTAGGCATACAGCTGACCTACTCCATCGAGCAATATCCTTCTTGAGAAGCTGATAGTAGCTCAAAGGGTGAAAAAATTTCCCGCCTTATATATCACCAGAAAATTCATTACTATTTTAACAAGAAGTCACCACTGGCCAGTATCCTGAGCCAGTTGAATTCATTCCACATTCTGTAAGACACATTTTAATATGATCTACCAAATTATGCTCCGGTCTTGCATGTGGTCTGTTCTCTTAAGATATTACAAGCAGAACTGTATACGAATCTCGCATCTTCCTACAGCGTGCTGCATATCCCGCAAATCTTATCCTCATTGTTAGTGCGCGCACGATGACTATTTTATGAATGGCTTAACAGCTTCTTAAGACCACACATTCTAAGGCTGTTTTCTGAACGCTGCTTTAATGTCTGTAAGAGGTTCATATTCAGAAGTTCGCTGCTATCCAGACACACTTTCTCAGGTGAATAAGATCCATGAGCACATTCAGAGTCAAAACAAAAAACTCTTTAACGCCCATAATTAAACCGAATGCATGATTGGCAGTTTCTGTGGCAGTGGTAGCGATTTTTATCGACTACTTAAATGGCTAAAGAACCCGGTATTTATCCATGATGTTCATTTACATCATTCTGTTACTAGCAGAATATCTGTCCATGACTCTATAGCCCCTTGTTGGACCTTGGACCTTCTTGATATTTTACACAGTCGATAGGACTCCTCGGACGAGTGATCAGCCGGTCGCAAGGCCGCTACCTACACAAAGGGCAACAGGAGCACAGAATAAACGCATACACAGATATCCATGCCTTGAGTGGAATTCGAATACACGATCTCAGCGTTCGAACGAGCTAAGACAGTCTATGCCTTAGACCGCGCGGCCACTGTGATTGGTATTATCAGAATATTAATTAATTCATTCATCAATCGTTCTACAGC